TGAATTCCTGGCCTCTCTGGTTAGCTGTGTGACCTGGAACAAATGTCTGAACCTCTTAGCCTTGGTTTTCTGTGTATAAAATAGGAATAATAAATAGTAACTAAATCACCAGGTTGATTTGCACTGATTCTGGCACATACTATAAGCATAATCATTGTTAACTATTACTATCATTGCATTTCTGTGTTGTGACAAAATACTGTTACTGGTCCATTAACTTCCCCACCCACACACACATCTTACCACCACATCATTCCCCCGTGCCTAGAACAGTGCCTGGTACAGAGAGGCAGACAAAAGGCCCTTGCTAAATAACCAAAACCCAATTCAGGGACCTTATCCTACCCTACTCCTCCAGAAGGCTGTGCCCTGGGACTGGCCGTCATTGGGAACTTCTCCACTTCGCACATCTTAACCTCAGAGATTCTACCCTCCTGCCCTATCACTTTCCTCTGGCCTTCCCAGTGGCCTGGACGGTTCTCTAGTTGAACTTTAGAGTCTAGTCCCTTTCTCTATCTTGTCCTTCCTCTCAGTAAATACATATTTCTAGGTGTTGAAATGCACTGAATTAAGAGTTCTACATGCTAGTCCTGACTTTCTAATTGTCTGTGTTACTTTGGGCTTCTGGTATCACCTCTTTGCCTCCATTTCATAAATGGAAAAGGAATAAAATTTGCATCTCCTGTTTTTGAGTGTGAAGAGCACTTTGAAAACTATAAAAACAAATTTAAAGATATTACTATTTGTTAACTCATAAGACATATGTATTTCCTGGTATAGTTTGTGTTACTCATAACAATTGCTAAGAATATGTAGCAAAAGCCCAGTTTACAGAGATTGGGGATATCACATTGAGTCACATCCTCAGCCTTGCAGGTGCCAGACTTTCAGATCTATCGTATGGTTGACCTTTTTATAAAAAAGCTTTGTGTGTGTGTGATCTATATTACTAGAGCTCTGCTAATCTACAACTGACCATAACTTTTGGTAAAAAAGGACAGAGGCTGATTTTGTTTGAACTGTGAGCACTGTTGAATATTGTAGTTTACACGTGAGTTGTGGAGTTGGAACATTTAAGCTGCATGGCCCATTTAGTACTAGGGGAAAAAGAACCTCCTTGCAGAATGGGCAGCCTGACTTGCATATAGTAATCACACTCTGGCAAAGGGACTGGAGAAATCAAATGAAATGGTACCAGATGTTCTCCTCCCCTCCAGCTTTGTTAGTGTTGGAGATGGAGGGACATGGCCTGGTGTTTGGGCAGCACAGTCAGGAATCACACCCACACTCTAACCCTGACATTCTCTGTTTCTACTACAGGGGAGAAGACAGGGGTGAATGTGACTTAAATGGCAGGTGCAAAGGGATGACTGACACAAGCAGGTACTGATCACATGCCTGGAAGTCAGAGAAGTCAGAGGTCAATACCAGATGGGGAAACTGAGGGAGGCTTTGTGGAAAACCTGGCATCTGAATGAGGACTCTACTGCCTAATTTCCTTTATATTAATATCAATATTTAAATTAGTAAATTTTCTATTATATTATTAAAACCATTAAATATTAATATCTATATTAAGAAGTGATAATTAAATAAAAGGTGATAATGAATGTGCTATTTGAGTTTTGACTCACTTTGGTGATGGGAAGCATCCACATTCTTCATCTGTGGTTTTTGTTAAGTCCCTCAAGAAAAAGAACAACAACTAATAACTAACATTTGGGGAGCCGTGCATTTAGAGCTTTAACAAACTTGATCCTATCTAGTAAGTGATAATTGTCAGAATGCTTCCCAGGCAGTCAGACTCCAGGATCCATATTCCTAACCCCTACATTAGGTTTCTTTTGTAAGGCCCCAGTATCTGGCATTTTGTAATGGAATAATCAGGGGATGTGCACACATTGATTATAGGTACTTGATTTTAAAGGCTTGTCCTTCAAATCACTAGAGTTGGCTGCATAACTTTTTTAGACAGAACATTGTTCTAATTGTAACAATAGAAAATACTGTCAATTCTTGATTATCTGTGTTAATGGAGAACAGAAGCATTGATAATCCAGTACGGTGTACAAAAATCACCTGTTGGTTGATTACATTACATTAAATTACTTCAAAATTACATGACATTTTAGTAGCTAATTATGTACTATTTATATACTTTCTAAAACTCATCATTCTTTGAGCATATTTACAGTAGAGTACTGGTGGTGAGAGAGACTGGAAAAGGTTAATCAGGATTTAACATTGTCTCCTATATGTAAATAACCAAAATTTTGATGGTGGGAATAACTCAATCATTCTTTCTTAAGATAAAAGCTCATGGTACCTCCCACCTCCCCGGCTGAAAGAATTCAGAGCTTACCTTAAAAATGAAGTTTACCATCCGTGTCTTTGTCCCCATGGAGAAGTGCTGCTTTGTACATAGCCTGTGTGGACTCTATAAAAACTCAGTACACTGAGAGAATCCAATTATCTGGCAGGATAGAATTTCCTTTTATACAGTTAAATCACAGGTGGATTGCACACACTAAAAGAGGGTAAGGGTAAGCACTTGAAAAGGTTAAGTAAACAAAGCAAATTTTCCTAGTGCTCCTCCTTCAGCAAAAATCTCAAGCAGCAATACTTCCCACCTGAGTGTATTTATTGAGCCTAGGGCCTGGGAAAGTCTTCTTGACTGGCTACTAATAGAAAGTCTGTTGCTTAGATTCCCAGCATCTATTCTCCCACCTCTGGAAACATCCTTTCAATTTTCCTTTAACAAACTATCCCTCCCTTATGAGTGCAGGTTTAGTGTAATCTAAGTGCTGTTGCTGTGTGTCCTAAATTGTACTGATCAGACACTTTCCCAGGACATTGGACATTGATCAGAGTGGCATCAAAATTGGAAACAAAGCTGATTCGTCCCCATGTCAGCACCCCCAAAAGACTTTCCAAAGCCCCTACAGTCTAGACCCTCAGAGTGGCCTGGTTTTCATTCTCACCAAGTCTTGATCCTTCATTGTTTCCTTGGCTCAAGTAATCTAACCTATGTCATTCTAATCAATTCTTTTCTGTTTGCTCAAGTTAGCCAAAGTTGTTACTGTTGCTTGCAACCAGTGAACTCTACTTGTGACAACTACGGAAGCCAACAATTGAGACAAATTTGGGTGAAGGTGCCAATGGAGCACTCTCTAAAATATCTGCAGCTCAGTCACACTCAGCTAATTTGGGGCCTCATTTATTAGATGATGAAGTTGAGAGTTTAAAAGAGTTCTTCAAGGCATAAAGTTAGAAGCAGGCTGTATAACACTTTCCAGCACATCACAAAGGTAGTGATGCAGTCTCTTCCCTGGTTGGTTTGCTATGGCACACAGGCGGGCAACTGATGCAAAATGCTACTTCAAAGACCCCTTCAATCAATTAATCAATGAGTATTTATTGCAAGGCACTGTGCTAGGCACTATGGAGAGTACATGGAAGATAAGATCAAAGTCCCTGCTCTCAAGGAGCTTACAATCTAGTTGGGAAGAAAAGGCATACATACAAGGAAAAGTAAGTAACAATACAGGAGTTAAAATGCAAGAAAACAGTACAAGAGATTTCCAAAAGTAGTACCTGATTAATTACTAAATTAATGGTATTGACAGGGGTTGCAGCTAATTTAGAGGAACAACATCACAAAGGACTAAAGTGTGGGAAGACGTCACAGATGAGCTGGGGCTGGAGCTACCCTAGGACAGTTGGGATCAGGGTGGGAGGGAAGAGGGGGGAGAGGGCATTTCAGGAAGGGGCAGCCATAAGACCAGAAGGCACGGAGGTGAGACCGTAAGCAAGCAGTGTTCAGAGGCCAGGGAGGGTTCAATGCAGCTGAATAAAAAGTTAGATTGTTTTAGATTAAGAAGGGCCTTAAATGCTGAAGTTTAGGTTTTATCCTTTTAGCAAACGAGGTGGGGGAAGCAACAGCTATACTTAGATTCAATATACAAAAGACTAAGCTAAATAAGAGAAAATATTCAAGTCTGATCTTCAGGGCATTTATTTGTGGATTTTCACTCTCTCTACTTCCAAAGAGAATTTTAAATAGTATCTTCAGGGTTGTCAATTCCAAAGAAATAGCTCTGGGTGGTCTAGCTTTGGGTCATGGCCAGAGACTCTTGAGTCCCTCTACAATCCCAAATTATAACTAGCACAAGGGTAAGCTAACAAATTCCCTGACAGGCAGGCAGGAAAAATGCTTCCGAAAGACAAGTATCTTTACAAACGACAGAATATTTATTAACAATACCTTTAAAAAAGATTACATATGCTAGATCACTGGTAAATATCATTTACACTGGGGTTGGGAACTACCTGGGGTGTCATTTTTTCATTCATTTTATTATTTTGTTGATTTTTTTGTGTATGATTTTAAATTGTATTTTATTTTAACATAGAAGAAAGATTACATATGCTAGATCACTGGTAAATATCATTTACACTGGGGTTGGGAACTACCTGGCGTGTCATTTTTTCATTCATTTTATTATTTTGTTGATTTTTTTGTGTATGATTTTAAATTGTATTTTATTTTAACATAGAAATAACCATATCAAACTAAGAAAGGAACACAGCTTGAAATACTGACAATATTTTTTCTGGTTACCACCCTAATTTTTACACAAGTGGAATCCTGATTGTAACTTTATTGGATAAATATAGCTAGAAGGTTGAAAAGATATACTGTTTGTAAGCAAAAATGAAAAATTACAGGCAAATTTGAGTTCTTCGCGAAAGAAGAAAAGGTGGCAGCTTGTTTACATGTGAAAATTTTTATAGAAAAATTCATTGCCTTTTATATTTCTGTTCCACTAGTGTCAGCTTACAAAACCTCCCCCATCATAACAAATAGTTCTTTTCATAAGAATGTAGTTTTGTTGATATTGTCATTTTCCAGTGTGTGATTTTAAGAATTAGAAGGTAAAGCTTGTAAAGCAACTAGGCTACCTATTGCAAAACAGGAGAATCATCAAGATACCATACAATTGTACTAAAGGTCTTTTATAGAGTCATATGAAAAATTCTTTGTGCAACTATTTGCTGAAATAGGAGAAATCTTCCAAACCCCATATGTAACTTCGATTCAAAAGAAGGGCTCTATTATTACAGAGATACACATATTACATATAAGAAATTTTTTAAAGAAATTATGAATCCATTGACAGAATTACTGTTTTAAAAAATTTACATTTAAAACAGATACATTTAAAGATAGTAAAATTATCTTTTATCCTTTGAAAGACTTGGTTGACTATAGTAACTTTTGGTCTATGTTACTACAGGATATGTAAGTTCAAATTTAATGTCTAAGATAATGCTACTACAAAGACAATGCTAACTTAGTTGAGTGAAAAGAAAGTCTTACCGTACAATGCTAAATTCAGGGGTGAGAATATTGCACAAAGTACCTCTTGGACAGTAAGTTTAGCTTTTGAGATTGCAGCCATTCCTGAAACCATCTTGAGTTGCGTTGAAAACAACACTCACAACAGGGTGGGAAAACATATTGTACATGTCAAAAGGACTTGATTCAATGCATTCATCATTCAAAGAGTAATTTACATACAGCAGCCTTGAGTTGTAGACCAAGTCTTCAGCGGTTTTGCCTCTAGATCCTTGTAAAACTGTACAAGTAATTTGCAATTTATTTACCAAGACTCACTCTGTCTTCAAGGGAAATATTTTCAAATCATAATTGTATGATTGTGTTGCCCATAGCATTTTATAGCAGAGGAAAAAATTAATATCTACATTATATGTTAACTTTAAAAAATTCTATAAAACACTAAATATATAATAAAAATATGCATATAAGGACATATGTAAACTGCTTTGGTAACATCATATTACAGATGTCTTCAGTGCATTGCAGAGTTTCCAAAGAAACTTCAGACAAAGCTAGATTTGCTTTGAGGAAGTACTGTATAATGCCATTCCTAAAGAAGCAAAAAACATTTTTTTTCCAGTAATAAGATGTACTTGAACAACAATATTACTTAGTACTGGGTGTCTTCAAAACAATTAGCTAAATGTTGCTTATATTATAAACAGTGAGTCCTTTCGATCACTTTTGTCATAAACTGGACCTAGCTGTGAGGGAAATCATTATCGTACTGATGGCTGACAGCGTGCACGCGTTTGAAGTGGAAGCCCCGGATCCTCTTGCGTAGGCATCTGAAAAGACAGAACAAATTCACTCAAAGTGGCTTCACCCTAGCTACAAAGGGAACAGAGGACACAGGGCTTTTCAAAACAGCAGAACTAGCTGGGTTCTAGTACAAATGATTAATCTCAGCAACTTTTTAATGTCAGTTCTATGACTTCCAAGCTTTGAGATGGGGAGCTGGTTACAGGACATCCCTGTGCCTCCATTTAAGCGTTTGTAAAACGAGGATGTCCACCTCTAATGTGAGAAGAAACTTCAGTATTACTAGTAAAAATACTCATAAATATTATGATATATCAATGATGCAACAAAATGGAAACTGCTACTCTCTTTTGAACTCTACCTTTGTGCCAGGCATAGACCAGTATGACACTTAAACGTTACAAAAACCAGATGAGGACCAGGTGTGATTACTCCATTGAACAGATGAGGAGATTGGGGCCCAGAGAAGTAAGGTAACGTGTCTAAGATCACTCAGTAAACGGCTGAACTAAAATTCACACCCATGTTTGTCTAAATATACCCCTCTTCTCTAAACAAAATAATCTCAACCCTTTTTTAAAACTTTTTCTTATGGGTCTTACATTTTTATTAGTAAGGGTTTCTTCAAGATTGTAAGATCTCCTTGACTAACATAATGAAAAATCTCCTGAGGGAAGAGATCATGTTTTGCTTTCAGTCACTTCTTTACCATCTAATCACTACACCAATACAACTGCTTAGTATATGTTCTTGTAGTCAACAAAACCAAGAATCATCAGTCATCCTAAAAAATAAAAAATAGAATCTTTGTAATGATAAGAAAGCATGAAGTCAGATTTTTAACAAAGTGAGATAAATAAACCCCCAAATAAACCCCAATCTTGTGTTTTTGTGGCCTGGAGATTAGTTCCACATCTTACCATAAATCTGGCTCCCTTTCAACAGAAGTTAGGACATTTGTTTGATAAGGTTTAGAATCCAATTCCTCTTGTTTTTTTAAAGACAAAAATGCCTTTAGTGTTTGTATACAAAAAAGATGCAGTAAACATAAGCTCCTTCTAGAAACACTGATAAATCACCCCTGAGTTCTGGAGCACGGCTCTACAGAGCCTCAGTTTCTCAACTGAAGTCCTTTTCTATTTAGTATTAATAAATGCTTATTCAATCCCACCTAAACAAAAGGCACAGAAGAAGGGTGAAATAACCAACGACATTTTTTTCTCTTTTGATTTGAGGCATCCAAATTTTGTAGATAAAATTAAGATTCCTTGGAGGGTTCTTTACTATAATAGGGGGGAGAGGGAGAAAAAGAGAACTTCTTACTTGATATCTTTGGAATTCGAATTTGTTCGCTGCTGCTGCCGTCTCCTCCATCGCTGAATGGCTTAATTTCAATTATATAATCTTCATCGAAAGGCAAAGAAAGCTCCACCGATGTTTTATTTGTTTCAATGACAGATGTGCTGCTTTGTCTATTCCATCTGTACAAGACCTGCCAATACAGAAAGAACAGGTATCACCTGCTGTCCTCACAAAGGCCCCAGAGATGGAGCATTCGTTTGTTTTCACCTCCAGGCACCAGCGAGATGTAGGAACGCTGTCTGGCTGCCCACTAGCATTTGGATGGCTCATTTATAGTAAAGGGAATGTTTGCAGCTACCATTTCATTCTGAGGAAAGACTTTAAAGGTTACTGCAGTGGGGGGTGGGGAAGCATGATTCTGCCAAAATGCTGTGTGGCTAACCGCTCCCAGGCTCAGTTGACACTCCGGGAATGATGGGAAAAATAAATACCTCCTTAAGGATGTATAGTGTCAGTTACATATCAATGGCTTTGGCATCAGAATAGACTTGGCCATGTGTGACTGTGAGCCACTTACTTCACTTCTCTGAGCCTCACTTTCCTCGTCTGTAAAATGAATGTATAGTGTCAGTTACATATCAATGGCTTTGGCATCAGAATAGACTTGGCCATGTGTGACCGTGAGCCACTTACTTCACTTCTCTGAGCCTCACTTTCCTCGTCTGTAAAATGAAACAATAATACCCACCTTCTGGAGTATTTTCAAGATTGCACAAGGATTGACTAGAGAAGGGCCTGGCTTGAAGAAAGCATGTAAGAAATACCACCTAAGAGGGCTTAAAGGGCATAAGAGATCGAAACATACTTGGCAAAGGTTAGAAGCACAAAGCAGGCCCAATATGTTATGTTCATGAGTCTTTTGGAGAGAGCATTTTAGCACAGCGAGATCTCTGAAAGGCAAGGGCAGTAATCCCCCTTTCCATCCCAATGGGACCCCTTTTTGAGGGGCTATGTAGAAAAGAGGCAATCACTGCCACTCCAGGAGTGTCTGTAGCTTGCAGCAGTTCCACTCATGTCTTTGTTTCCCTTCTTGACCCCCACTGGGTTCTGAGTTTGGGTTGTGATTTATTTGATGAGGTGCCAACTAGCTCTCCTGAAAACATATTCACCTGCCTGAGACTGCCTGCTCTCATGGGTATCAACTTGAATCAGAACAAAACATAAAGGCCTGGAAAAGTCCATCTACCTTTCTAGATACAAGGAGTGTGATGATAACTACCTCACAAACACTTTCTGATGCTTACAGGCACTTTATCACCACCATGTTTAATAATACTCCTTTCTACAGATAAAGAAACTGAGGCCCAGAGATGTCACAGAGCTGGTGACTGGCAGGATGAGGATGCCTAAATCCACAATCCACACTCTTAAACAACTATAGCTCACCCTCTTTCCCCTGGCAATTAAAAAGGCAGAGTTGGATGAAATCAGTGGTTCTCAGTCCCAGACGTATGTCAGAACCACTTGGGGTAATTGTGTTGTGGTTTGAATGCGTCCCCCAAAGTTCATGTGTTGGAAACTTAATCCCCAATGCAAAAGCACTGAGAAGTGGGACCTTTAAGAGGTGATTAGGTCAGGAGGGCTCTGCCCTCATGAATGGATTAATATCACTGCAGGAGTGGGTTCCTTATCTCTTCCACGATGGGATGACATAGAAAGAAAGTCCTCGCCAGATGCTAGCACCTTGATACAGGACTTCCCAACTTCCAGAACTATGAGAAATAAATTTCTTTATAAATTACCCAGCCTGTAGTATTCTGTTACACCAACACAAAAAGGACTAAGACACCAGCCCTGGCTGCATGTTAGAATCACATGGGGCACTTGTAAAATACTGATGCTCTAGCCCAGTGGTTCTCAACAAGGGTGGGAGGTGGGGGAGCAACTTTGCCCTACAGGGAGGTATTTAGCAATGTCTGCAGACATTTTTGGTTGTTACAACAAATGCTTCTAATGTAGTCGGTAGGGACCAGGGTTGCTGCAGACCATCCTACAATGCAGAGAACAGCCCCACAACAAAGAATTAACTAGAGCAAAGTGTCAACAATGAGGAGGCTGAGAAATCTTGCTCCAGTTCCAGTCCAGCCTGCCTAGTAAGACTCTATGGAGATGGGGTCCAGGCTGTGGTACTTTTAAAAAAAACAAAAACAAAAAACCCCCACAAAACAATCTTCAGGTAATAATATGGGATGGGAATCATGCATTAGATTAGTGGCTTTCTAATGTGACCGTGCATCAGAATCACCTGGAGAACGTGTTAAAAACATGGATTGTTGGGCCCCACTCCCAGAGTTTCTGATTGGGCAGGTCTGGGGTGGGACCTGAAAATTTGCATTTCTAACAAGTTCCCAGCTAATGTCAGTACTCTGAGAACTACAAGATTAGCTCATCCTTCTATTAAGACCCCCTATAAAGTCTGACCTGCTGAGGTTAGAGACACAAGGTCATTCTTCTACCTGAAGGCAAAACCAAACACAAGTGAAATTCATAAAATTCCCTTAAAATGGCTTAAATCCTATTTGTTTACTGGCAGTTCATCACCTTAATTTATGTCTCTCTCATACAAGATGGAAAACACAATTTCCGTATGGTGGAAAGATTCATAAGCGCCCCCCCTTCCCCCTCTGGAACATAAGTTGTATCAGATTCAGCATCCCTTTGCTACTGATTAGGCTCAAATAAATCCTCAGGCACATTCAGGAGTGCCAAAGCTTCTCATCACAGCCCTCCAGGAGAATGGGCTGGCTGATGGGATGCAAGGTCACATCTGGCTTTGAGGAATAAATTGCTTCTTTGATTTACCTCTGGTCCTTGCAAGAGCTCGGAGAATTCAACTAGTTTCAAATATAAATCCAAAAGACACACTTCCAGGAAAAAAGCTGCCCTTTTATCAGCACTGCTTATCAGTCTTGTAATATTAGGGACTGCAGTGGAATCTAAATAAAGTCCTGTGAAACCTTTATTTACACCAAACACTTGCTCCAGCTGATTGACTTGAAGGCTGTGCTTGCATTTGATATAATCCAGAAGACAAGGAGAAAGAACAAATCGGTGGGAATAATGATAATAGCAGCAAACACTATTGACTGTTTCCATTACTGAGTGTCTGAATGCTGCATGTTCTAAATGCTTACAAGGATTACCTCTTGAGGTAGGCACGATTATTATTCTGATTTCAAAGGTGAGAACTTGAGATCTGGAGATGTTAAGCAGTTGCCCAGGGTCCCACGGTGACCCCTGTATTCAAGCCCAGGCAGTTTGGCTCCAGAGCCCGGATTCTTAAGACCAGCTTGGCCACCACCTGTGTGGCTGTGGACAAATTGCTTGCCCTTTCTGGTCTTTGTCTTCATGAATGCAAAACAAGTGGGTTAGACAGTAGAAAACTGGTAGCCTGTGCATCATATCCAGTCTGCATATATTATATGTTTGGTCCTCACAGTGTTTAAATTTTTTTTTTTTTAGTTAGATATCAGTATTGAAAACTGAGAAATTACACATGAAAAAGGTTTGGGTTCCATTGAAAAACTGGAGGATATGGCCACAGTAATTGCTATGGTTTAATACGTGTCCCCTCTAAAACTCATGTTGAAATTTAATTGCCATTGTAACAATATTAAGAGGTGGGACCTCTAAGAGGTGATAGTGCTGCTACAAAAGGGAAGGTTCCACACTCTTTTCCTCCTCTCACCCTTTGGCTTTTGCCATGTGATGACACAGCAAGGAGGCTCTGGTTACATGCTGACACCTTGATATAGGACTTCTGCCATTGTAACAATATTAAGAGGTGGGACCTCTAAGAGGTGATAGTGCTGCTACAAAAGGGCAGGTTCCGCACTCTTTTCCTCCTCTCACCCTTTGGCTTTTGCCATGTGATGACACAGCAAGGAGGCTCTGGTTACATGCTGACACCTTGATATAGGACTTTCCAGTCTCCAGAACTGTGAGCTAATACATTTCTGCTTATTACAAATCACCCAGTCTCGGGTACTCTGTTATAGCAGCACGAAACAGATTAAGACACTAGTCTACATTCTTGTCTGGTAAAAACCGGCTGGAGCTGAAGAACCACTGCCCATTCTGGAGAGTCACAAACTCTGCAGTTTGTCCTAGTCCCCAATATTGCTTGTTTTGTTACCTTAGTGTGTGCCCACCACAGGACCTTTGCACCTCCTGTTTGCTGTGCTTGGAAATCTCTTTCCCAGAGAGCTGCCCTTCTCATTCCTTTCTTTCAAGACTCAACTGAAATGCCACCTCTTGAAAGTAGCTTTCCTCAGCCTTTACATAAAATAATAAGTCTCTTCTGTCTTCCCCATGGCTCTCTGTATTCCCCTCACTCTGATTTATTTTTCTTTGTGGTACTTTACTACCACTTGCTATATTTGTTTATTGTTAGCAGGCAGAATAACCAAGTGGCTGAAAGATGCAAGTCTGGATCCACACTGCTATATTCAGATCCCAGGTCTTCAGCATATTAGCTGTTGTGACTTAGGCCAGTTGCTAAACTCTGCACCATCATCCTTCATCTATAGAATTGGAGCTACTTCTCGGGTTATTATGAAGTTAAGATGAATTGGAACAGTGCTTAGCACATATATTTGTAGTATTTCAGCATATTAGCTGTTGTGACTTAGGCCAGTTGCTAAACTCTGCACCATCATCCTTCATCTGTAGAATTGGAGCTACTTCTCACGTTATTATGAAGTTAAGATGAATTGGAACAGTGCTTAGCACATATATTTATAGTATCTGTCGAATGAACTAAGTCAACATCACTCATTTATGTTATCTGCCTGGCTCTGGAGGCAGTTTAGTTTGTGATACTGAGACCAGATGTTCTCCTTTTAGCTTTGGTGTCACAAAGTAGCTTGAGGATTTGCACTGACAGAATATCCTGAGCTTCAAACTTTCTAAAGTCAACTTCTTGTTGAGACTGTCTACCTAAGCAAAGATCTCTCGAATCTAGACAACTTAGTAAAAAAGCAAAAATAAACCCACACCTTCAGTATTTAGGAGGAAAAGTAAATTTTGAAAGGAGTAAGTCTGATATAAATGGTAGCTATTTTTCAGTCAAATTCTCTATCAAAGATCAACTTTTCCATTGAAATCAGATCCACATTTTATTTAGCCTAT